TTGTGCTGAAGAGGCTGCAGGTGCTTGCAGACAGAGTCTATCCAGAATCACAGTGTGGATTTCGAGCTAACAGATCCACCACCGACATGCTATTCTCCCTCCGACAGTTGCAGGAGAAATGTAGGGAACAACAACAACCACTCTTAGCGGCCTTCATAGATCTCAGAAAAGGCCTTTGACTTGGTTAGCAGGGACGGCCTTTTTAAAATACTTCCCAAGATTGGATGTCCACCTTGACTCCTTAACAGCATCAGGTCCTTTCATGAGGAAATGAAGGGCACTGTAGCTTTTGATGGCTCAACCTCAGATCCCTTTGACATCCGAGGCGGAGTGAAACGGGGTTGTATCCTCGCACTGACCCTGTTTGGGATCTTTTTTGCTGTCATGCTGAAGCATGCCTTTGGAACTGCAGCAGAAGGTGTCTATCTCCGGACTAGATCAGATGGAAAGCTCTTTAATCTCTCAAGATTGAGAGCGAAGACCAAAGTCCAGTTGAAATTCTCAGCCACACCAGACACTGTTCCAAGTCCTCCATATAGAGCATGTTACCATAGTCTCTCGAGACTGAAGGAGGCCTAATCTCGTCTTTTAGTGGTGGTATCTGTTTGATCCTTTCCAGTATTTGTACACTTACTGTTTTTAGCTTTCAGTATTGTCTTTTAACTATGTGAACCGCTTTGGGTCCTTCTTAAGGAGAAAGGCAGGGTAAAAATATTAGGGAGGGAGGGAGGTTGTTCTACCAGTCAATTTCATTTTTAACAGACCCTCATGTACACAGGCAACAGTGATGTCAATGGGTTTCCTGCACCTCAGGCCTCCTTCCCCTGCTTGGAGAAAGCTGCCTCTCCCTCCCCTCGTGAGGCCATGCCCCCCCGAAACCCCCCCCCCCCGGCACTCCATAAGGGCAGAAGCCTGGCTTGTAACTCTCTGCCTCACAGCCACTCCCTCGAGTGCTCTGGCCATTGTTCCCACATCCTTGTGGCTGCTTCTGCCTTTCCTCCCCACGGCCAAGGTGGAGAAAGGAAAGCCATGTTCTCTCGCG